ATTACTAACTACTCTATATGCTTTATTTAATTTGTTCCTAGCACAACAACAAATACCCAGTTTTTCTTGACCCCTTCCCTTTCCTATCCCCTCCCCTTCTCACTGTCTGTGGAGACAATAATAATGATCCTGCTAATAGTCGTCCTAGTGTTGGTTCCCCGTGAAAGGATCCTCAGACTGTGGGAAGCTGTTGGACCTAGCAGCAGACCTCAAAAGTAAATTCAAATTGTCTGGGAAATATATTTTAAAAGCAAAGAACTGAATTAATTTTAGTGCTGTATTTTATTTAATCTAACATTTCAACACATGTGACAAGCCACATCTCACATGCTCAGTAGCCCCTGGGGCTGGATGTTTCTTCCGTGTCCAGCATTCAGCTCTGGGGGGTGGAATTCACAGCTAGGTTATGGGCTGTTCCTCTCAGGGTCCCAGGTTCTAGAGGATGCTGTTCTCACACTGTCTTTCCTTGACGACCTGGCTCTTGGTCAGCTTCCTGAATGATGAAATATGCTGATACCTGGATCACAGCCCACAGCTATAGACTCAAGAGCCCTAAGAGAAAGGTGCAGGGGTCTGTCTTTTATTTTTTTAAAAAAGATTTATGTATTCATGCATACAAGAACTGGGATACAGGCCAGAGGTGCGGGGGGTGAGAGGATTCACCAGAGACAGAGTGGGAAATGAAACAGGCAGATTGACTGAAATACTGCTGAGGGGAGCAGATGAATCAGGAGAGGTCTGCTGTGCCATGTGGGTAGCTCCCTGGCCAGGGATCGAACTCGTGCCGCAGTGGAAATAAACTACAGAAAAGGGGAAGATTGGAAAGTGTATGTCATGATGAGATCCATATGCATGTCCCCAGATACAAGTCTGCAGACCCCTACCCAGTTTCTGGGGGACCTTCTTCTTCCTGCTGGGGAGGAGAAGCACCATCACTTCTCAGGGGAGATACAGGTGTATTAGGTCCTGTTGTTTGCTGATTGCCCATCTGTGGGCATTCTCTCTTTAGCCTCCTGGCGTCATTTATTTTTTTTTAAATAATAAATTTTATTTTTATATTCTCCATACAATTGCAACCCCCCCATTCTGACCCCAATCCCTCCCCTCCCACCCCCCACCCCCAAAAAGTGTCTCTGGTTCATAGTTTTTTGTTGATTTTGATTTTCACTTTCTTATAGTTATTCATTTTCCTGGTCCCTTATTTAAGATTTCTGGACCTACTAAACATAGAGCTTCCATATGATCCAGCAATTCCACTCCTAGGTATTTACTCAAAGGACACAGAAACATCAATTCCAAAGAACACCTGCACCCCTAGGTTTATAGCAGCACTGTTTACAATAGCTAAGCTTTGAAAACAGCCCAAATGCCCAAAAATAGATGACTGGATCAAGAAGATGTGGTACATATACACCATGGAATATTACTCAGCATTCAAAAAAGATAAACACATGCAATTTGCAGCAACATGGATGGCGCTGGAAGGGATCATGCTCAGCGAAATAAGCCAGAAAGAAAAAGAAAAATACTGGATGGTCTCACTCATAGCTGGCCTCATTTAAATAAGGGCTTAGGTTGCTGCTTAACCCCTTGCGCCACCAGAGAAGCCCGGATCTGCCTTTTAAATTGTCAGAGCAAGGCAGTTCCTCCACACACCCAGGTTTGAGAACCACAGGCAGTTTGAGCCACATGTTCACACATCTGCATTCTCACGTGGCTGTTTACTAGATGTTGGGCTTTGAGACTCAAGGTGAAGTGACTTGTCTGGTTTCTTCAAAATGATATTGCCCAGCAAATCTCAAGAGTTTATTGTGAGGATTAACTGAAACAGATGGGTAAGAAAGCTCTTTATATAGTATTAAGTACTCCATAAAAGTTAGTTTTTATGAGACAGACAGCTCCCAGCAGTAAATTATAAGTAAGCAGAGGCCCTCGCTATTTGGTTACCTAACGTGTGAGTGTGATATAAAGATAAAGAAGTGGGAGGGGAGGGAGTATGTGACATTTTATGTGACAGCTCTCCACAAAGGGTATTTCCAGAAGTCTCTGGGGTTTTCTTCTCTTGGGCTCCTTGACACTCTTTGGGCCTCTGCCTGGGTCCTTTAAGGACCTGGTCCGTCAGCTCCCTCTGGCCTTAAATGGCCTCCCCTGAACCCAGAGGCACCACCATCTGTGAGAGATCCTTGTGGAGACAGCAGAGAAGCTGACTGCAGTTGCTGAATGACAAGCTCGGTGCTAAGCTGCACGAGGCAGCCTGGCAGCCTGCCAGCTTCTGGTTCTCTCTGTTTTGTGTTCCTCACTCATAACTGTTTATTGTGACAGGTAAACACTTGTTTTGAAAGCTTGCAGGCATACTATTAAAACACAAGTGTTCTTGACACAGTCAAGCTGGGCTGTAAAATGTTTATCTTCTTGAATGACAAATGCTGGCTTTTCTTCTCCCTTCCTCCCTAGCTTGCTTCTCTCCTTTCTCTTTTCTGTCTTCCCTCTCTACTTGCTGTCCTTCTCTGCTTGACTCATTCCCCTCTTCTCTCTCTTTGTCTTCCCTCCTACTGAAGACCTGTGGCCCAGGGCAGGTGTGAGGAGGGAGCAGAAAAGGGAGCAGGCGAGAGGCTGGGGCTATACAATGATCTGTTTTGACACCAGATATATTGGCAAGTGTAACTTGTTACTTGAGCCTATAGATGGTCAAACAATTTTGTAAACATTCTGCTTAAAAACAAAGAAAATATAAAAATTAGATTTAGTTAAAGTCCAGTGTTTAAAAATTACTTGTTATTTTGAAGTAGTTATAGATTCACAACAGTTATAAAACTTTGTACAGAGAGGTCCTATATAGCCTTCACCCATTTTCCCCCAATGATATGTCTTGCTTGGCTATCACACATTATCACCAGCAGGAAATTAACCTTGTAACAATCCACAGGTCTTATTTAGATTTCCCCCAGTGTGTGTGTGTGTGTTTGTGGTGTGTGTGTGTGTGTGTGAAGTCAAGGCATTCTTTAGAAAGCAGCTCATCTTGTAATGGGAGAGTATGTGGCAAAAGCCCCTCTTGGCTGCAAACAGGACTTTGAAGAAGAACCTTCCATGGACTCTCCTTATTGAATGTGTCTCTTCCTCCCAATACTCTCCCCTCAATGCACTTGCCCTGCAGGTTTGTTGAGTTATCTCTTCCTTTAGGGTCTTTCTGCTCTCATAGCTGGTTTGTGAAACTAACTTGTGCAAATATGTGAATAGGAATTAATGGTTTGAGGTGTAATCCCTTTTGGCGATAAGGAATGCCCTGGCAAATCTACCTTTATCCTGAAGGGGTAACATGAGTGGCGGGACTTCAGCAATGTAGAGGCCATTAGGGAACATATTTGAAGCAGGCAAGTCTTAACAGACACTCAGTCTTTATGTAGAACCAAGAGGTTTGTTGTCTAATTTCCTTCATCAAACTAAGCTTTAACTTCTGCAGATTGATTTAATCTTCCTTCCCTATGACAACCCTGAAATGCAAGAAGACAGCTCCAAAGCCCTGTTCACATTTCTATTTCTTTAGATTAAATATTTCCTCACCAGTTCGTCTTAGTGAGCATCTTGTCATTCTCTTTGGTTTCAGCTTCTGCTGACTGATGTTCCTCTTTAGCAAGGGCACCTCACACTGACAATAGTGATACTGTGGGTGTTTCCTGGACAGTCTGGATGTAAATGGGTGATGGCCTTGCTCATGCTGCGTGAGCTTTGTTCCATCCCAGTGCTGCTGGCAGCCCCCTCACGGGGCGACTCCTGGGCAGCTTCAACCATTAAACCCCCAGGTGCGTAATTTACACATGGCCCTTTTTTAGATCCTATCTTATGTCCCTCATTGCTCAAACTTTAAAAAATAATTTTCCATTGTATTTCATGGAATTAATTAGGGGAGTTCATTGCCTTAATAATTTTAGAATCATCAGTAGGAAATAACTTAAGTAGGACAAAAGTTGCCATGATTTCCCTCATGTATTGGCACAATGCATCTGTGTGTGTGTGTGTGTGTGTGTGTGTGTGTGTGTGTGTGTGTGTGTGTGTGTGAAATTGATGACTGGGTCTATTATTCTGTTGTGGTTTTATGACTGAAAACAGTAGAAAGTTTCTTCCACAGTTCTGGAGGCTGGAAGTCTGAAACCAAGGTGTCAGCAGGGCGCTGCTCCCTCTGAAGTGTCTAGGGTAGCCCCTGCTGCAAGCTGTTCTCTTAGCTTCTGGGATTGCTGGTGGTGCTTGGTGCTTCTCAGCTTGTACAGATATCACTCTTCTCTATGCCTCTGCTGCAGGGCCTTTTCCCTGTGTGCAGGGCCCTCTTTATGCCTCTTCTTCTCTGTCTCCCCAGAAGATTATGTTCAACTCCTAATCCTTTTAACTTCAGAATGTAACCATATTTGGAAATAGGGTCATTGCAGATATAATTAAGATATAGTTAAGATGAGATCTAACTGGAGTAGGTGGGTCAGTCTTACTGGTGCCCTTATCAAGAGTCATTGTTTGGCGAAAAAAATAAAATAAAAAATTAAACTTTTTTAATTTTAATTAAAATTAAACTGTGAAATATAGGAAGTCTCTGAGAAATTAGACTTAACTAAAATCAAGTTTTTTGAATTTATAATGGAATAATTGTAAACACACAAAAGGCATAAAACATAATACAGAACGGTCCTTCACCCAACCCCTCCCCCCATTTTAATGTTTTGCGTGACTATAGCACAATATGACAGGGAATTGATGTTAGAACAATCCACAGGCCTAATTCAGATTTCACCTATTTCACCTGCACTGATCTGTGGCCATTTGTGTAAGGTCAAGTGTTTGTAACACTAAGGTCATGTTGGTGTAGACACCTTAGGCAGTTTAGATCTACCCGATTTGATGGCATCATAGTACCATGACCAGAGAAAGGGGCTGTCTGTGAATGTTTCTGAGCACTTTCCTTATTGCCTTATCTGCAAAATGACCATCATTCTGTGGACCCTACCTTTTTGCAGGGTTGAGATCAGGACCAGAAGAGCACTTTGTTAAATGTGAGTTTCTGCATACAATTAATCCTTAGTATTAGATTATCACTCTCTTAAAGGACTCTATTCACATCAAACATAATGCAATATACTTGTGTTAGCGTAAGGACGCACATCCCATTTGCTGCTACTGAAAAAAAAATAGAGTTTTCAGCCTGGTTTCCAATTTCCTTTCATGTACAAAAACAGTCATGTGGTAATTAAAATAAAAAATTCAAAGGGATAGAAAATAAAAGTGCCCTGTTAATATTAAAGAGTAAAATGAAACAAGTTCACACAAAGTAGAGTCCCGGAGCCTTTGTTGAGATGAATGAAGTCTTTATGGTGGAGATGTTTTCATAGCAATTAAATTGGAACATCAAGTCAAATTCAATGACCACTCTAGCGAGACAAAAATAGCAAGGAATCATTCTTTTCAATATTGTATTTTAATGTCTTTGGTATCAGTATTTAATATTAGAAGTTTTGATGTCTTTGGCTGTGAGGAACAGTTGGAGGTAGGTCAAAAGTGGGAGCTGATAAAGGACTTGCTCTCAAGAATGGAAAAGGTGGGCATGGATGGTTCTCTTCATGGAGTAAAGAAGGCCCAGAAAGAGCCTAATGACAGGGTCTTCAGGCTTCCTGACACTTTGAGGCATTATCAGACTCTGTGAGAGCCCCACGATGAAATTACTCAGTTAAGGACTCTCCATAATGGTCGAAACTACCTTCATACCTAATTATCTTCTGAGAAATATGACTCTATCAGAGGTTGAAAATATAAAGAGCTTCAAGGAAAGGTTTAGATAAGCTAATGAATAATAGATCTATTGAGTGTTACTAAGAGGAAGTTAGGGATGTTCAAAGTGCTACCTTTGAGGTTGACATCAAGAACATCCTGCCCTCCTGTGGCACATCTCTGGGGGGCCCTGTCAAGTGGGAAGCACTAGATTGGAGTGCCAAAGTGCCGATTGTGAAAAATGAGTGAACTTATAATGTTCTTAGTAGTAAAATTTCAAATTTAGCGTTTGGAACGATAAAATAACCTGTTGATTCATGAATTTAAAACTCCAGATTCTTTTCCATATAAGAGAAAGTCAAAGGAACACTATTTTTTTTTAAATGTGGGGTGGGACACCCTTCATTCTCCTAATCTCTCAGTCTGGGTGGAAAACAGAAAGAGGACAAGAATTAGGAGAAATGGGAAATGGTCTTCCTAGCGCTGAGATGCCAGAAGGTTGTTTGTGAAGCATCTGAGGACTGGAAGCAGTAAATGACCTTTGAGGATTAGGCCAAAGCTGAGTGGCTGTGGCAGGTATGGATCCCAATAACTTATAGCATATAGTGGCATTGGCAGGATCTTAATTATTTTTTTTAAGATTTATTTATTTATTTATACAAGCACTGGGTACAGTCAGAAGCATGGGAGGGTGAGAGAATTCATCGGAGCCGGAGCTGAAAATAGAGCAGGCAGACTGACAAAGTACACTGCTGAGGGGAGCAGCGGGCAGCAGGAGAGGTCTGTGTGCCATGTGGGACCCTCACCTGGTGGCTGGGGATGGAACCGGTGCTGCAGATGCTGCGGGCAGCTTCTCAACCCAGGGCTCAACTGCTGTGCCACTGGGGAGGCCCAGGATCTTAATTCTTGAGGGGCAAGATGAGTTTCTGTGTGCCCACAACATACATGGAAATTAAAAAGAAAACCACATTAGTCCCCAGTTTGCCCATATCCCAGCTCCTTCCATAGTTACCTTCTTCTCTAGCAGAGCTATGGAGGACATGGGGCCAGATGCCTGTCTCAGGCCCAAGACTGCAAATGAGCCCTCAACATGAGACACTCAGGGCCAGCTCATGTTTTAGGAAGATTCAGTGGGAGCATGAGGGTGAAAAATGAGTTAAAAAGAAAAAAGAACAATGGAAATGAAGGGGACATAAAGAGGAAGGTAGAGAGGCTCAGGGAGATACATGCTGCAGATTAAATCCTCTTCTAGGGGCCAGAAGTTCAGGAAACATAGCCCATTCAGAGGATACGAGGGCCTTGTTGGAGGAAGCCTCATCCAGAATTCAGGGAGCTGTCACATGACGCTTTATAACAGGTATATTGTGAGCAATGTGGTGTTTGATGATTTTGTTGTCGTGCAAACATCATAAAGTGCAATTATACATCTCCATGGCATAATGGTGTAGCCGTGGTAGCTTGGTCTGGTGTCTCCACTCTGGATGGTGGATCCCGTCACCTGTGTGGTCTGTCCTGGACTGAGCCTCTCAAGTTGCACATTGACTGTGCTGGCATCATCTTGTGATGACATTAGAAACAGACAAATTACAGCAACTGGCAGATGAGGGGACTAGATTTGCCCCTCACATTCCACCTCTGACTCCCCCCAGAGCATGTTTAAGGCTTTGACAAGCAAAATCAAGGAATTTGGCCCCATTTTAGCAGATCACAAAGGTCGACATGATGCTGCTTCTTACATAGGCTTTTGTTTGTTTGGGGAGAAATGAATGAAATGATAACACTCGTTTAGATTTAGAATGCATACGAGACTATAGATTAAAATACACTTTAGGTCTAATCATGATAAAATATAATTTGGTTTGATTACCAGGGACATTAAACATGTGATGGATCTTTAATTTCTCAATTTTTAAAAAAGAGCCTTTCAACCTGGGGAAATACTATACCCAGTTCTTGAAGCATGGGTATTTTGACTTCTTTCCCATGTTTTAGATTAAATTTCGATTCTTCATTAAATGATATTTTTCCCAGTGCTTAAGCGCAGTATTTCCATTTTTAAAGGAGCCCGAGGCAAGGGTAAATTGCATAATAGTTGCTGAGAACAGAACAGCTGCTATTAATTCAAGTTGGTTTGTTCAAGTACAGCATGTTCGTCATCTGCATCAGAATGTAGTGCATCTTCTAACAGTAGTTCATCGAGGATGAAGTGGTCACCACTTTCTCTGGGTGGAGCCACAGTGTGTCAATGATTTGGAAGTAATAAGAAAAAAGCAAGCCTTTATAATTAAGCTCAGATAAAGCCAAGCTGTAAGTAGCACATCTGAAGTATCTGGACCTTTTCACTTTGATAAACGTGACAACCAGTATTTATTAAATACTCCTGTGGGTCAGATACTGGGTTGAACAGCAAGTGAGAACACTGACATTTGACACACTGAGGGGCTGGCTCAAGGTCACACGGCAAGTGTCATTCCCCAGAGACTGTGTACTCTCTCATTCCCTGTAACAGGGGGCAGGTTCCGAGGCAACCACAACAGCTGCTAGATCTAAGTCGGACCAGCAGTGTGAGTAGATCAGGGGCCTTTGCTCACCCACTGAACAACAGTGATTAGGCGCTGGAGCCAAATCAAAGCCAGATCAAGTCCAAGGAACATTTTTAGGCAGCTCACTGCTGTGTTTCCTCCCTGCCCTCAGCGTATTTCTGTGTTTAAAAGCTCGAGCTGTCTGAAGTGAGAGCCACAGCTGATCTACATGGTAAAGTGGTCAGCATGCGCCTGCTCCCATCCTCCTTTCTGTCCAAGACCTGGGCCTGGCACCAAGGGAGTACTCAGACCTCAGCACATGTCCATGTGGAGCTCGCTTTGCGCTGTTCACAGTCTCACATCATTTATGTCTTCATGTATGTCTAGGAGCATGTACACACATAGGTTATTGTTACTGGGAGAAACATCATTCCCGAGATGGGAACACAGAACACCGAGAAGAAAGCAGTATTTATGGTCAGTTGTAACATTGACGCAATTATCTTCAGAGACCCCAGCTAGGTTCTTATTCTTCCTATCCTGTCGGTAGGCCTCTGCCCCCCTTTAGGTTCTATAACTGTCCTACAGGACTCATTTGAACTTCAGCATGAATTTAAGTCACAAGGGGGGCCCAATTCTCAGTGCTCAGTGTAGTGCTTACAACTCTCCCTTGCTCTTTCACTCAAGAACAGAGAGGTCATCACAGAGATAGATATGCTAATTCATATTATTAAAAAGAAAAATAATTCCCAAGTTTTAAGAGTAGTTTATTTTTTATATTTTTTACATCATTTTTCATTTTTGCACAATGTATGCATTTTCTTTCATTTTTTTTTTAAATTTACTTATTTATTTATACAAGCACTGGGTACAGTCAGAAGTGCGGGAGGGTGAGAGAATTCACCAGAGTCAGAGGGGAGAGCAGAGCAGGCAGACTGACAAAATACACTGCTGAGGGGAGCAGCAGGTGGCAGGAGAGTCTGCGCGCCATGTGGGACCCTTGCTGGCGGCCAGGGATCGAACCGGCACTGCAGAGGCTGCGGGCAGCTTCGCAACCCAGCGCTCAACCGCTGCACCACCGGGGAGGCCCTCAATGTATGCATTTTTATCTTGGTTATATTCCCTATAGAATTCTCACCCCCCTTATTTTGCCTGTAATCCCTCCTACCCCCACTCCCCCCTGTAATGTGTCTCTGGTTTATAGTTGCTTGTTGATTTTGAGTTTTACTTTATTATAATTAGTCGTTTTCCCGGTCCCTTATTTGGGTTTTCTAAATTCCTACTATGAGTGAGACCATCCGGTATTTTTTCTTTTCTGTTCTGGCTTATTTCGCTGAGCATGATCCCTTCTAGCTCCATCCATGTTGCTGCAAATTGCATGAGTTTATCTTTTTTGATTGCTGAGTAATATTCCATTGTGTATATGCACCACATCTTCTTGATCCAGTCATCTATTTTTGGGCATTTGGGTTGTTTCCGTAGCTTAAGAGTATTTTAAATAACAAATTAACTGTAACCAGGCTCAAAATTCATCTGGACCACCTACATGTTAGATCTGTTGTTTAGAGAGTAAAACAGGCACCCTGAGATTTTCTAAGCGCTAGCGACTGATCTTGTGTAAGTTTTTGGTCCAGTTTCTCCTCCATAGAATAAGTTGACTGGATTGTTAAGCTACTTAGATCAGAGGAGTCGAGAATGGCCGGATGACAGAACGTCCTTCAAGGCAGTCCAGGAGCTGCTGTGCCACTTGCTGTG